AGACAACGTATGCGGGTGTAGCGTCCTCTTAATGACAACTACTTGGACTGACGTTCGAAATCAAATGGATACTAAAACAATATAATGTTGTCTGATAACAAAAACATATGGCTTGAGTTGYATTGAATTTTACAATGAAATAATAAAAAATCCTACATTTCTGAAGAAAATACACAGCACTGATAAATATAAGGTCTCCTTGGACGACAAAAATAAAGAAAAATAATAAATCAGTAAATTCTACCTAGATTAGTATATTTATTTCAACGACTGGAAATTGTATTATTTATTTTTATTTGAATTTTGAGTGTTAATTAAAGTGTTGATGGCCTATCTAATTGATTAATTTGAATATTATTTATACCTAAAAGTTATATACAAATACCTATGTAATTATATACTTACTAGATAATTACCTATTTTTTATGAATTTTGGTGTCCCGGATTTCTAAAAATTAAATCTGGCCACCCTAGTCTAAAACAAAATTTGTATTTTAGATCTAAAACCAGTATATGAATTGCGTCGCTTATATCGCTTATATTTTAGATTAGTACATCAATAATTGCATTGCTTATACATTTTTATAAAAGTTTACATAAATAAATAAATTATATATGTACGTGTAATTATATAGGTACCTATAGATTTATTAATGAACAATTAATATTATTGATATTAATGTTCATTGAATATTTTTTTTTATTGAGCGCAATAAAATTGGTATATTAAAATGTCATTTTAAGCGCAATTGGTAAACTACATTTCAACGTAGCTGTTTTGGCATAACAAATTTGGCGTAGGTAGGACTATTGAGGTGTTTTTTATTATTTGATACTCTCATATTCACATAAAGTGTCCTAGGAAAGTAGGAAACATAAATGAAATGTAAAATCACACAGTGGATACTATGTGGCAATTAATAAATAATATTTGGTAAGCATTAAGCACTATAGGTACAAAATATATATTGTTTCTTTTCTTTTTCGYCGAGTCTCGAGTGTATAAATTAACTACAAAAGATTTAACATAAGAATCGTTATAATATGTATTTCAATACAAACTTTATTACCTATACCTAATAGTTGTTTATGAATCTAGGAGAAAAACGACACAGTTAATTACGACAAAAGAGTAAGAAACGAAAAGGTAAAAAACATCAATAATTTATTTTTATCTARAAATAACAAATACCAATTATTAAATATTATATTATCATTAATAATATATTATAATATTGATATAATATACCTATACAGAGTGTCACTTGAGGATATATTATCTATTAGCCATGAAGGGGTACACGCCGCCCGGTTAAAAACTAATTTTATGCCGTTTTATCTATAAATTAAAAACATTTTTTTTTTTAGGTATGTATCTTAAATATAATATTTTAAATTAAATTGTACAATTCATATTTTCTTAAAAAAGTTAAGATTTGGAGTGTGATGGAGTCTGCATTTGGACCCAGGGCTGCGTCTAAGGTGGTGGGATGTTCAGCTGAATGAGTACATCTGTGTATTGGCGGCATTCTGTGAGGATATGTTGGACTGTTAGTTCGGTACCACATGTTGTGCAGATAGGTTTTTCATCTTTTGACATGTTTATACATTTATATATTATCCTCTCTACGACAGTTGTTTGGTAAGGGTTCGATAAGACGCTCTATACGTTCAATTGTTATTAACTATACCCGTACTAACAATATTATATTTATATACTATATACTAACTTATAATTTTGTCGTTTTTTCCGTGTCGGTTTTTACCGAGACGTTTTTTGTCCGTGTCATTTTTTACCACGATTACTGCCGTCGTCTATATAGAGTTAAGAGCATAATGAGTAATGACTATTAACCTGCAATATAGTATAATGCTAGATGAGTATTATATTATGTTCCGAGAAATATCTAAATCATCTAATACTAAAGAACTAAATAAATAAAATTAAAATAAAATAGACGAGAAGAAAACTGCGAAATAAATCACGAAATTACTCAAAACTCTGACGTATACTGCCGAAATAATAAAACACACTGATTATTGCACGTTTCCGGAGTCCAGATTTCGCTCGCAAATTCTCTTCGGTATTGGGTGGTTGTTATACTGAGAAGGCTGGTGCTCATACACTGACTAAATGTACTACATAGGTATATTGAACAGAGAGATACAGATTGCTTTATCATTTTATCAAAAGGTTTTTGCGCTTCCTGAAACTATAGATTTCTATTCGGCAGCAAAGGCCTTATTCATCATTCATTTTCTCTAGCGGCACCCAAGAAAGAAACATGCTCAAAGTTTTATTGTAGTAAGTACGTGCCGATTCGTTAATTTTTTCATCGTATAATACAGATTGTCCCTTTTTATTGATGGAAATGGTTTCATTGGGGATGTTCGAGATCTATGTGCGACAGTCTGATCGTTATTTATTAACCTGTTAAATTTTGTTTAATTTGTTTCAATGATGCGGTGTGAGCATATTATTACACTACCGATGGACCTAATGATTTGATGAGACTTCTGAAAACCGATTTAATGTTTACTTAAGATCGATCAGGCTACATTTCAAGATATTTAATTTTGTATTTCAAATATATTTACATTTATTTCATTATTTTCATTAAAAGTTTATAAACATTCATAATTTCATAAATTATTGACTAACAATAGGAACATTTTGATTGAAATAATGAAATAACTGATCATTTGTAATCCTTAATCCTGTTATTTTTATAATATAATATTTTACTCATTTTAAAAATGTACATTTCTGTACTTATATTCAACAGTTATGTATTCGAACTTTTAAGTGTATAATAATGTTTTATTTTCACTGTTAAAATTAATTTTCAACTGCCAAATAGTAATATTTCTATGCTGGTTAAAAAT